GCATGTCGCATGTCGCATGTCGCATGTCGCATGTCGCATGTCGCATGTCGCATGTTGCATGTTGCTTGTTTCCGTAGTTGCTTACTAAGCTTGAAATGTATAGAGTACTGTAAATGTAATGTCAACACAAAACAAATTATGGCGGAAAAACGCGCAGACCTGGAAAGTTATGGAAAATTTTATGTTGCAGTGATCTATCGATGATTGCACTTCCATCGCGTATCTTGGGCATGGATTGCAACTTGCAGCATGCAATAACTCTTTTCGTTTACCAGCCTTTTTTTCTAATAGCTCTTTTCTTACGTATTTAGACCAAATTGGCCGGTCTACAAAGAAAAGGGCGCAAGAAACCCTTTTACGCAACTTAATTCTTCTTAAAATTTAGAGGGTTTTTTTTATTGATTAGGTTGTGTTATAGGTAGGGGCGAATGCTAAGTTGAAGACAAGAACGATCCTCCTTCTGAAATCCTCTACGTTTACACACGTTACATGTCTTTCGCGTGTTCTTATTGTTTTATAGACAGTTCAGTCCTTACAAGATCGATGCTGACGGAGCCTGGCACCACCTAGCCATGACATGGACAAACGTCCGAGGACAAATTACAGTCTACATTGATGGCATCCCTAAAGTAACGGTACTCAATGTAGCAACAAACAACGTAATCCAAGCTAACGGTATAGTTGCCATTGGTAACGATCAGGATTCATACGGCGGTGGTTTTGTAGCTAAAGATGCTCTTTGTGGCTCAATCTCCCGTGTTAATATCTGGAACACGGTGTTACCACGTGATGTCATCACATCGTTMGCTGGTAAATGTGGGAATGAAGCTGGTACGGCTGTTGCTTGGAAAGATTTCAAGAAAGGTGTAGCTGGGATGTCGTATCACGGTGAAACAAAATCCATTGTACCTTCAGCATGTAAATACCCGTGATATCAATTGGTGTTGATGCTCAGAGCCTTACATTATTGCATGCAAAATCGATTAGGATGACTCTGAATTATATTTCTAATGCTAATATTTTAAACTTGATATTTCAATATTGGCTACTCAAGTTCATAAAAGTACTACCATGGGTTTAAAACTACGGTATTAGGTAATTAATATAGATTAGTTTTCACACAGGGGTGGAAAAACACACCAAATATTGGTACATCTCRTTCATAAGATCGTTTGGAAGACATTTTTAACTTATAGAAATGAAATATATGCTCATCGGAAGGTTTTAATTGTTTTCTAAATAAAATATACAGCTATATATATACATGTCGGGTTCCTTTTTAGGAGGGTGTAGGATTTGGACTTCGTTAAATGGAAAAAAAAAACTTCATGACAGTTTCGCAATTTACTTTTTTCAATAATTTTCAATTCTATAAGTCTATATCAGATTTTTGTATCTCCATTACCCATTATGACCATTAGCGATCTGGAATAAAGAATGTACGAATTTTGTCTTTACAATGAACACATAATAAACTATATTTCTTGTGATTTTGGCATTTCTTCAATCAATTTTCATCCCGCTTTATGACGATGTGATGTGCCAATTCAATTTAATCCCCACCTTGAAAACTCACCTGCTAGAAAGTAAACACTAGCAAATACGGTTGGTGATAAAGAAAAGAATTACTGAAGAAATTACTGTCAATGCTTTTTTTAAAACGTTAGTATATTCCTCACTGAGAACTTCAAACTCTTCGGGGAAAAATATCTCGACGATAAGTACTAAGGTGATTATTGCTTGGAAAGTTATAGATGCGAATTGTGTCACGATTTCATGAAGCAAGTTTTTAACCGAAAAAAAATTTCGGCCAGCAAACTGGGCCCGGTTGTGCGAAAGGTGGATTGCGCTATCCGACTGATCATGTCAAGTTGGCCCTGTATGGGCAAGCACGCACCAATGCATATCGTATATGTAATTTCATGATTTAACTTCCGAATTCTTTGTTGCTTTAGAACAGTAGACTTTTTCCTATAAATAATTTTGGCGCTTGTTTATTGATTTAAAGATTTTTTTTTGACTTTCATCCGAGATAAATTGAACGCCATTTTTCATTGACAAATGAAGCCGCATCCAGCTGATTAATCAATAAATTGACACTATTCAGTTTTACACCAATGTTATGTCAAAAATGTTTTCTTTATATCATGTTTTATTGTATTCTTAAAACTAAGATGACATAAATATGTAAAATCTGGTCTGCCCTACGGTATACTGCTGTATTGCTGTCGACTGGTAAAACTGAACTGTCTTGCTTAAACCAACGGCAACCAACCTTCACCGAATCTGCAGGTATATATTTTCTTTAGCTAGATCTTATTTCTAATTATTTGAGTTAATGTACGACACGTTCAGCCAATCTCTTGTTAATCGTCGCGGTTATTGAATGTATATATCGAAGGGGAAAAAAACAAAACGAAAAGAAATTTCTAATGTTATGCTCTAAATGAGCTGCAAAAGAAGAAAAAAGAATCTTTATTGCGACGGCAAAACAAGCATTCGAGGTACATGTTTACCAATTTTGCACAAAAAGAAAAACTAAATAGATAAAGTAAGCCATGTGCATGCAACGTTTTTTTTATATATAATTTCAATATATAAAGTTTCATCTTCGTTTGTATTTTTGATATTCAACTAAGTTTACGGCCTTGGCGGCCATCTTCAGGGTTATCATCAGTAAACGTACAAGTATGAAATATATCTTCGTGCTCAACGGAAAGATAACAGTTGTTATATATTGGAGTGCCTTGGAGATTCGACTTAACACAAAGAAGATGGAGCATCCGAGCATCCGATTAAATGACATGCTAGAGTAACACCGACAAATCCTACTTATATGAACACGCCAATCGCCAAAATCGATTGGGATAAAATAAGAATCTTATAAAGCAATAAAGCAAAAATGCGCCAAAGAAATATGGTGATTGAGTCAAATYTTTAGAGAACTGAAGACGGCCGCAAGCCGAAGCCTTTAGCTATCTATTGAGCTAATCAAATGCTTGCGTACAATGAAATTTTAGATATTTTCATTTTTTGTATTTTTGGATCTTTCCAAAAGAGCTCAACCAGGAAACATGAGAAGAGTCTTGTTTTGGTGTGGTATTCCTGTGGTTGTCACATCGCTTCTCGTTGTAACAGTAAACGCCGAAAACACCAACACAAGAAAGAAAATGTTCCAGCGAAGTGCTCAAGGTATATAATAACTTTATCTTCTCCTTTTTCCTCATCTTAATAAAACAAGTAAATTGCGTCTTAAAATTGACATAAATCTTATGTTTTTCTTCTCCTTTTTCCTCATCTTAATAAAACAAGTAAATTGCGGCTTAAAATAGACATAAATCTTATACTTTCTAAGAGGATGGGAACAAAATTGGATTTAATTGTTTTCCCGCTTTTTTTCTAAGTAAATCGTTTCATAACTTATAGTACACTCAACAAAATTACTCGACTCTGATTGGTCGAGAGGAGTACAATTATAGCGTTAATTGTACTCCGTAGGAGTACCGAATTAAGTCGCTATGGCAACACGGCCAAAACAATATCAAAACAATTATTTTCTATCATTTTGTACTTAAAAAACATATAAATAAAATTTTAAAGCTGTAAGAACTAATCTTTTTTATGCATTTTAGTTGCGCGATGGACTGAAAATCGGCCGCCAAATAGACAAAGATGAACGGCGTCGAAAATTTTGTTGAGTGAACTATAAACAAAAAATCACACGATCTTCTCGTACAATTTGGAATTAATAGACACTCGTAATGTTTTGAAAGTTCTTTAATTGCACTCGCCTAAAGGCTCGTGTAATTACAAGAACTTTCAAAACATTACTCGTGTCTATTAATTTCCAAATTGTACTCGAGATCGTGCGATTTCCTATACTAATTTGGACATGATTCCAGCATGACTACGCTCGTATAAGACATCTAATGAATGTGTCAATCGAGTACCAATAAACATTAAGGGAAAATATCATATGCCTTTTGCGGGACTCGATCCAACGTCTTCTGCATTAACCATTCCGAGTTTGTTGGTCGAAATGAAATTGCAATGCATTTTGGGACTGTATTAGGGACGAAAATAGACGCCATTTTGTGAATATTTCGTCTTTTAAAATAATTCGACCTCGACCTATTTTTCCTTAACCTCGGAATTGGTTTAATCAATATATTACACGAACCAACCACGCTGGATGGGCAGCCGGACATTGACATATGAGGCAACTGTGGGGGTCCCATGGCGATATGTTCTATGTACCATCATTATTATTGACATTAGAAAAAACATTTATTYGTAATCAATTATATTAGACTCATAATCGATGCCATCGCCGACATGATTTATTTATAATCGATGATAATTTATAATTTAAAAAAAAAAAAAACATTTATTTATTATATAATCTATGATATAAGAAAAATGGAAATATTTCTTTATCAAAAATTTAACACTGCAGAAGAAGCTCTCTTTGGTCATGTGATCCAGTCTGCTGAAACCTCCAGTGACATCGATTGTTTCATGGATTGTTCCAGAGAACAGCGTTGTTTGTCATTTAACTATAAAAGTAACAGAGATGATGGGATCCCTGTGTGTGAGTTAAACGACCAGACGCGACAGTCTAGGCCCGACTCTGTTGTACCAATGCACGGCTACTACTACTATGGTCCAGAGGTGCGTACTAATCATGATGCTAAGGTACAGACAGCCCATTAATATAATCAGTTGGCCTTTGGCGTCATCCGGCTTTACGAGTTAACAGAATGATTTTATTTGAAAGGATATTTTTTTCTTTTCTTTTGTGTTATTACTAGCGATTTTCCATCTCCGTCTTTATCTATGTAATTTTCTTCGCATGCGTTTTTTTTCTCTCTCAAGACCGCTCTTATTTTACATTTTATTTATTTACTAGTCTTCCTGCACCTCTGATCTCTGTCTGAATGGAGGAACATGTCGGCCAGTTATTGATGATTCACACCAAAGATACCAGTGTCAATGTTTACCTGACTTTACTGGTGAACGCTGTCAATATCCAAGTGAAGGTCAGTACTGTGGATGATATAATATTGAAGCATTACTTTACTGTTCTTCGCACCATGCAGAAGGCGCATGTGGCATGCTGAAGCTTTGCCAGCCCAGAAATATTGCTTTATTTCAAGGATTCTCTAGAGAAATCTGATCTTGAGTAGGATGACAGTATTTTTCCGTTATTTTAAGATCCTTTCAATGGGTAAGGATGACGTCTCTCACTTTATGATGTGACAGACTAATCTTGAGAAATAAGAATACAAAGAGAATAATTGGGCTGCCATTAATAGGATATGAAACTATTCAGCGCGTCACAGTGAAACTAAGGGAACAGGGACGAAAAACCCGAGTACCTGATGGAAATAGTGCAGTAGCCCATAAGGGACATTGCTGCAAATAAAATGATTTCACTGAATTGTTGACAACGACAACGCTTTTAGTAGCAGACCAAAGTAAACAGAAATGCAATCTAAATGGGAGTCTTTCTTGGTTTGCTTTAGCTGCGTGGTTGTACCTATACAACCCTTGTTTGGAGTGGAAGAATTCAATACAGCTGTCAATTGTAATTTCAAAAAAGATGTGGCATTTGAGTGTTATGGATACCCTGAAATAGTCTCTGAGCTGCTCAAAKTCAGGGCACTCGCAGATAAAATTGGAATTTAGCGTGTTAGGTTTTGCAAAGGGAGAACTAATTACCGGAGAACCAAGAGAAAAACCCTTGAGTCAAGGCCAACACTCAACAATTTCTCACCCATATGTGATGCCGGCCAAGTGTAGGTCTAGGATCGAACCCGAAGCTCCTGATCGAGGTGAGAGGCGAGTGCTCTACGGCCGCTTACGTATTCCTTGATTCCCATCTGTAGTGGATATGATTAGTCAAATTTCATTTCTCACTTTATTCACAGACTTTGACATCAACTTCCCCACCAGACAAAGTGCTTCTGATTATGTTTTGTTGGTCAAAATGCCGCATCAACTGACAAGTTTCACAGTCAGTATGTTCGTCAATCTCACTAAAGATGTTGATCACTCGTTCGTTTCGTACTCAACGCCTTCCATTGATAACGCACTCTTTTTTCATCAACGAGGATCAGTACTTCAACTACGAGTTAACAACATTATGAGGTAAGCTAATTTACGGTGCGAGTAAATTAACCAAACTATTGTGATGATAGACGGTTACCCTGTGGGAAAGCGACCTTGACCTTGGCCTCGAGGTGAGGTTGTAAGCGGGCTGTAGAATACACGGTAATAAAGAATTCTTTACACTACCCAAACAGTTAAAAGCAAATTTTTGACGCTGAATAACAAGATGGTGACGACTATTCTGAAGTTAAAAATGTTGCTTGTTCACTCCTGATCATACACATACACCTGGATAATAGCCGTCAAAATGCTGTGGACTCACGAGGTGTTGCTTTTGAAGGAGAAAATGTGAAAATTTATGCAGATCCTATCGCTTAAATACTTAATTGTGATTGTCTACTTCGTATTAAAGTTGTCTGGGTGGCCTTAGTTGGTATATTCGCACTGTAACAAAAAATCTTTATAAGTGCCATTTCTTTGCTTTTGACTTATGGATATCATAAAACTATCAAAATGTAATGAGACTGAATTTCAGTGATTTATAAGCTATCTGTTTGTATCCATTTTTAAGGGAATTCAAACCATGGAAAATACGTGCTGACGGTAGATGGCATCATCTAGCTCTGACTTGGGAGAGCTCTCAAGGGGAAGTTAAGTTGTACATAGATGGTGTGCTCCCAATCGCTGTACTGAATTACGCAAATGGTCAAATGATAGAAGCTAACGGCATAGTTGCCATTGGTAACGATCAGGATTCATACGGCGGTGGTTTTTTAGCTAAAGATGCTCTTTGTGGCTCTATCTCCCGTGTTAATATCTGGAACACGGTGTTATCACGTGATGTCATCACATCGTTAGCTGGTAAATGTGGGAATGAAGCTGGTACAGCTGTTGCTTGGAAAGATTTCAAAAAAGGTGTAGCTGGGGTGTCGTATCATGGTGAAGCAAAATCCATTTTACCTTCAGCATGTAAATACCCATGAGAAATCAAGTAACTTTTCAATGACATTCTACAGTCACTTGGCATGGAAAAACTTTGCTTGACGTCTATCAACATCCTATGCTGTTGGTAAATTGTACGATTCCGTTCAAGTGATCAGGGAGCACCGCAAACGCATTATATAGAAAACGATTTAAGCACACAATTGTGAAAACGCACTTTTTAATGCTAATGCTTTTTTTATTTATTTTAGTTAGTTTTTAGCCAAGTTGAATTTGAATATCGCTTCGAAGTTTAACATGAATATTATACTAGCACATTATCTCCATATAAACGATAATAGGGTAAAATAGATAATAGTCTTAAAATTCTTTTTATTGGAATTTCTGTGATTAAAAGTGCGTTGGTAAAGTATTGGAAACACTGTGGTATGGCGTGAATACATAATAGCTCTTAGTAGCAATACTCAAACAGGGACTTTTCGCTCATGGAAGAACCGTTACAGTCCGTATATGCATCTCATATTGTGATAGTGCAGATGGACCTGACGGTGAAAACGTTTACAACGCCGTTCTTGTAAAATCCTCATAAAAATGTGATCCATGCAATGCTATTCCGACCCTTACATTTGATAAGAAGCTCAGTCGTATCGTAGTTCAGCACAATGATCAAATGCTATTCTTAAGAAATAGTCTCCTTCACGGTTCCTTCGCCATCTTTAAAGGTAGGCGTGCCTTTGCATCGAAGAGAGACGAACGGTGAGCTTGCAGTGATAGAGRCCTGTGAATAATTGTCCAAGGTGTTAAAAAGGGCACGGCTACCTTTCAAGATGGCGCATGGAACTGTGAAAGGGACTATTAACAGACATTGAGATGGCTTTTAGAAATCCGTAATTAACTATCACATTATAGAACTTTATCAATTTTTAAATTGATAAAGTTGAAATTAAAGTTTGATTTCAACCATCACATTAAGACTTGACTTTACTGTTGACTTTACTGTTGGCGAACCGTTAACTACCAAAAACGTTGAATATCATATGGCAAACGTGTCGACACATCGGCATATGATACTTGATTTTATTTATAACATCAAACTTATCGAAAAAAGGTGCTGACACACAGTGCAACATTACCTGCAACATTTTGAAATTTCCAGCAAATCAGCTTGCACCAAATTTATAACTTTTGACCATACATTTTTTGTTGCAATGTGTGCCACCCCGATTCAAATTTGTTGCTTGCAATGTTGCGTGCAATGTTGCACCGTGTGTCAGCACCTTAATTTATCATTTGTCACTCTGAGCTGTAAACTCGTACTTGCATTTCATTCCATAAATGAAGTACCTTATGTCTGTTGAAGCTTCAACAGAAATTTAGATCAATTACTACAAAATAATCTTATTTATAAATTATCATAAACTGATCAGCAGTGCTTATTGTCACTCGACCAATCACAACGCGCAATATATTCGAATCTAAAATCATAGTGAAAAACAAATAACTTCGTAATTAATTTTCCGAAAAAAACCTGTTGTAAAATAAATAGTAAGCCTTATTAAAACAAGCAAACGCGGAGTATCCAAGAGAGCTTAACCATAGTTCTCAGTTAACGTCATGTTCTTGCAAATCTCAATTATAAGGAAAATATTGAGAGAAGTAATCCATCTGTTTAAACTTCTTGTGAGTCCAATTTTATTGAAGACATTTTTCTTAAAGTTAATGAACGTGAAGCGTAGCTTTTTTACATTTATAATCAATAATGTATTTATTAGTTTTTCATTATTCATTCTAAAAGTTTCAATACTAATCATTGTCATGTTTCTATTTTCAAAAACGCAAGCAAACAGCCGAGTAGAGATTCGTAATTTCATAGGCGGTAATCAGGTCTGCAGGCGTCAAAAGTCAATTAAAAGCACTTAATAATCGACCGGAAAAAAACACACCGCCTCCATAACTGATCAATCATCGTATTTTTATTACTTTTCATTGATCCAGTTTTAATTGATCGACACTCTAACAGTACAAGCCACTGTCTTCATACTGCTATTTTGAGAGAACAGAATTGAGTGAGTTCGTCAGCTACGAATTTGAACGGGCCTTCTGGATTTCCGATTTCAATTTGATTTTTCATCCAATGATTCTTTTTAAGGTAAGGAAATGCTTTAAAGAATCAAAATTGGCTGTTGGGTGGGTGCGTTGCCTCTCAACTTTCGGGACTAGTGTTCAATTGAGTTGTTTGTCAGGTTTCTTCAATGATAATTCGATCTGTGAGTTAGCTTTGCCCTGACTTTGCTATCAGCCCAGAGGTTGTTTCAGGATTGGATCTGTGAACCGATTAGCCGTGCTTTGAGTTTGATCAGCCCAGAGGTTGTTTCAGGGTTTAACAAGTGAAAAAGAAAAAAGAAAAGAAAAGAAAAGAAAAGAAAAGAAAAAGAAAAGAAGAAAGAAGAAATATAAAGATTTGAAAGTAGATTGAAAATATATTTAAACGGACGAAGGAAAAAAAAACTGTAAACATAAAATAAAATGAATTATGCATAAATCAATAAAATTTAACACAATTTAACACAAAGCTGTTCTCCATCCACTGAATTCCAATTGAAATTTCAAAATTGATTTTTTTTTCAGAGGGAGGAAAACCACAACTCCCGGAGAAAAACCGTCGAAGCACAGGGAACCAAAACAACTTTAATTACGTACTAAACACAAGCTCCTTTTCCTGTTTTAGGTACTAAAGGGTAAGAATTGAGCAGAGATAATCACATTGAAACAGTTGATATTTCAAAATACTACTACTAGAAAAAACTGATATATATATAGAGAGAGAGAGACAGAATATTTAACTTACTTTTATTCTTCTTCGTTTATAAGAACAACAAACAGAAAAAATTTATTGCTTTTCAAAGCAATTAAGTCAATATTATTAAAGCTAGGTTTTCTGATTATCAGCATTTTAGCAATGAAAAGCGTCTTGTTTTGGTGTGGTATTCCTGTGGTTGCTACTTCGCTTCTCGTTGTCACAGTAAACACCGAAATCTTTAACACAAAAAAGAAAATGTTCCAAAAAAGTGCTCAAGGTATTGCTTTGTTGTTTTCTGTACTAATTGTATATAAAAATATAATACTATATTATGCTATGTTCCGTTTTACAGTATTTTATTCATCGCTGCTGAACTTATTTTGCCATGCATAAATCCGTGAAAACCTTGTTTAAACTGGCTCAATAAGAGCGGAAAGACAGAGGGCTGAGCTTGTCATTTTTAATTTTATTATTGATCACATCGTTGATTAATAAGATTGTGTTGTATCAATATCGAGAACGATTTATTTGCCATGACACGCGCTTTCCGAATGCTAAGTGCTTCTTTTAGTGCGAACCGTGACAGGACAATGGGCCTCAATGGAGTCAAAAGTATAGGCATAAAAATGCCTAACAATTAGTCTTAAGGTGTAAAAATCAAAGATTTTTTAACCGTTTTAACGTTTTAAAAAAGCTAACTGTACTGACTAAAATGAAACTGTATGCCGAACAAAAAGACTTTCAATAGTTTTGAATAAACTCTAATAGTCTTGTAATATTTCCACGTAGAAGAAGTTCTCGTTGGTCATGTGATCCAGTCTACTCAAGCCTCCAGGGACTTCGATTGTGTCATGGATTGTTCCAGAGAACAGCGTTGTTTGTCATTTAACTATAAAAGGAACAGAGGTGATGGGATCCCTGTGTGTGAGCTTAACGACCAGACGCGGCAGTCTAGACCCGACTCTATTGTACCAATGGACGGCTACTATTACTATGGTCCAGAGGTGAGTTGGTCAGGAGAACATTAGAATAAGAATGAATAACTAGAAGTGGACTAGAGAGGTCTTCTAGGATGGGACTAGAGCTTTTTAAGGGACTGAAAATGGTGAAACAGTCGTTAGTGCACTCTCCTCTTGCCTCTCACCTGTGGGGTCTCGCGTACAAATTATTCCTCGACCCTACATAACATGTGAGGTTGTTTAGTCGCTTTCTTGATTCGGGTGTTTTTGTCTGGGTTCTCAATCTGGTTGGGAATCGGCCCCCATGGTCGAAAAACTGATCTTAAGGTGTGTTGCAACCTGTAACCTGTAACCTCGTTCCTCCCTCCAAATCTTCGGAAAGAAGAGAGAGAGAGAGAGTCGAGAGTAGTTGGCATAATCTCCAGTATGGTTACATAACTAGTTGGCATGGTCCCTAGGGAATTCGAGCTAATATATATACATATTTCAAAATATAATATATATGGCTTATATAGCTTATATAGCTTACATGGCTTGTATAGCTACGCGTAGACGGTGTTCATACACTATTCTCTTAGTAGTAACAACCACAAATCTCGATCTTTACAATTGTACGTTTAAATCAACATTTCATTCTAGTCTTCTTGCACCTCTGATCTCTGTCTGAATGGAGGAACATGTCGGCCAGTTATTGATGATCCACGCCAAAGATACCAGTGTCAATGTTTACCTGACTTTACTGGACAACGTTGTCAAGACAACATGGCAGGTTAATGTGGTTTATAAACCTTATACATATCCTTAAATGGTTATGGCATAAAACTCGCTGTTATTTGTTTTCCCCGTTAAAAAGTCTATTTAGTTTTCATTGTAAAGCGTCTAGAACAGACTTAGATAGCACTATAAAAATAGTTTATTATGATCATTATTCTTATAAATAAACCGCCATCCTGCCCGTGCGTGAGGTCGTGGTTTCGCCTGGACTAACACTCAGGGTCTTAAAATAACTGAGAAGAAGGTGCTGCCTTTGTAATTAAATTTGAAAGTGAATGACCTTTTTAAAAGACGATCCCGGCCGTCTCTCCACACTCATCATTACTATCCAATATCGGAGGGACGTAAAAGCCCGCACTGAGGACGTAAAGAAACCCTGTCAGTGACCACCTTCAGTGACTACACCTCATACTAACTTACTCTCGTCCACAACTCATTGTAGAGTGCCTTTGAACATATCCATATGGAAAAGAGTTCTACATAAATATCGTATCGTATATATTATTACTGTTTAACGTCCAACAAGTTTTTCTAACATTAATTATGTCTTATTTAATAGACTTCGATATCAACTTCCCCAGAAAAAGTACATCTGATTATGTTTTGTTGGCCAAAATGCCGCATCAACTGACAAGTTTCACAGTCAGTCTGTTCGTCAATCTCACTAAAGATGTTGACCATACGTTTGTTTCGTACGCAACCTCAGCTTACTCGAACGCTATCTTCGTACATCAACGAGCCTCGGTACTTCGACTGTGGGTTAATAACTTCAAAAGGTAAATCCTTTAGATTGTTTCGTAGCTTGTCTTGCTTTTTCTGATGTTTCAGAATTCTCTAAAAATAACTTCATGTGACTACACTCATGTACTTGTTTTACATCAGCTTTTTTGTGTTTCATAGACAGTTCAGTCCATACAAGATCGATGCTGACGGAGCCTGGCACCACCTAGCCATGACATGGACAAACGTCCAAGGACAAGTTTCAGTCTACATCGATGGCATCCCTAAAGTAACTGTACTCAATCTAGCAACAAACAATGTAATACAAGCTAACGGTATAGTTGCCATTGGTAACGATCAGGATTCATACGGCGGTGGTTTTGTAGCTAAAGATGCTCTTTGTGGCTCTATCTCCCGTGTAAATATCTGGAACACGGTGTTACCACGTGATACCATCACGTCGTTCGCTGGTAAATGTGGGAATGAAGCTGGTACAGCTGTTGCTTGGAAAGATTTTAGGAAAGGCGCAACTGGGGTGTCTTATCATGGTGAAGCAAAATCCATTGTACCTTCAGCTTGTAAATGAATACCGCCCATGAAATCAATTGTAAATGAATGTAAATGTAACTCTTGGCTGGTATCCATGGGATACTATATGAACTACTTAATTACAATATAATATGAATATTAATTAATTTAGTTTATAAAATGAGAGTTTATATCTTAAAGTGTATATGACAAGAAAACATTTCATGGTTAAAAATTTACCATGAAATTTAGCAACGTGTGAAATTACAAAATGCACAAAGTACGATAGCTTGAAAATACACACAATATACTACTGACTCAATGCCTTCCAGTGTAACTACTCTGATTATTATTTATGCTTAGTTTTGTTCGTTATGATTTGAACAAGCAGTTTTCCACCAACGATATTTTTTTGATATTATATATCCTTTTCTAAAAAGTACGTTTGCAGTCATGACAAATTGAAAGGACTTAGTTCAAAGAGTCTCTAAAATAATTAGTGTTCAGTGTTAAATGGTTCTACTACAGAGGTTTTGTACCATCACGTGCCGTTGCCCATAATACAGCTTGTGTTGTCTGTGCTTAGATGGCAAAACAATAAAATCTCTTCTACTACCAGACTCCCTTGCACACTTTCTTTTGTTCAGTTAATCAGCACCAATTGTCTTACTATTCTTATGAGGGAATACAAATTTAAATAAGAAAGAAAATTCGCGAAGCATTGTGGTAGTAGGAGTCAAATGACGCAATCATGCAAACGTCCTATTGAATCTAACATGGCTGCCGTCATGTGATAGTGCAAGACCTCTATTTTGGCAACAAGTTAGCATAAAATAACAGTGAATATGAACAAACCGAAATTTATTTTATCATGAATTGAAGTAAGGCCTAAATATTTCTTGACATAGGAATTAATCAAGTCATTGTAATTCCATTCATAATAACTATTCCATTAGCTACAACTTTAGCTTCCGTAAGTACGCTAGGCGAGATCAACAGAATTCTGCTCAATGGCTTGCAAACAGAAAAAAGTTCAGAATAATTTGTTATAATTTGATTTTCTCCCAAAATTGACACCAAGCAGAAGCAGAAGCCGATAAGGTGTTGCCCAAATAAACACGAGCATTTACAGAAACACATTCAGCAGAATTCAGAAGTGGAATACATTCTGTGCCTAGGATGCTGGTAAGCTTTTATATCGTGGCCCCGGATATTTTATATATGTTTTTCAGTTGTTTATGTTCCATTTAATTGATATTGGACTAAAAGATGATGTTTTCTGTCCTCTTTTTTCCTTAGTGATATCAAGTGAGCATACTGAATAAATTCATGTAGCGACCAAATAACTTCCAGTAAAAAAACCTTAGCTCGCCGTGTAGAAAACCCGAAGAAAACAAGAAACGAAGGAAAGACAATCCGACAAAAAAGACGGTGATCTTTGACTTTGAAAAGGACGCGTCAAAATAGTGATTTTCGTTTTTCTGAAAACGTTTTTTAAAAACTGAAGACGTTCGAAATTCTAGCTAGAATTTGGGAAATGTCTTCATTTTTTTTAAATTCAAAAAGTTTTTTTTTTTGCTTAGTTTTCAGGTTAAATTACTCAAGCTTGCTGAAGGTGGAATTTTTGAAATAAGGGAAATTTTCTTTATGGGCAGTTTCGGGGCGGATTCGGGCTTCGTAGTATTCTGAGGGTTAACCTACAAAAAAATCAATATGCGACACGGCTTAATTTTTCGACTTCGCTGTACTTTTGGATTTTAACAAGTATTTTTTACAGTGTGGAAAAAAACGAACGAAACAACTTGTCGTAATTCTAAATGATTTAAAAAATGGATTTGTCCACAAAGTTTCTCAAAATTACTTACATCTGCGCGCGGTTTGCGTAAAAAACTATTGATCCAAATTGCCTTATTCCACTTTCTGCTCAAAGCATTACATATTAATAATATATTCATAATATACTCATAATATCTTAATAATATATTCATTCATAATATACTCATGATATATATCCATCCTGTTAAATTAACTTTATAGAGCATATACAAAACTTGAAGCCAAAATGCACAAACAAAGATTGTTGTAGTATTGGTGGAAAAATACTGGGTCGCTTGCCATAATTGATATCTTCAGTTCAGTATGTTAATATTAAAGTTTGAATGACATATGTTGGTTTTCATAATCTTTGTGTAGACTTGTAGACTTTAGCTATTAGTTTGGGTTGGAAAGCGTTCGCCATCTACTTTTTTTTTAATCAAAAAAAGCCAACAAATTAGTAGATATTGCAAAGGAGGTAATATTTCTCTAGAATCGGTATATAGATAAATAACTTTCAGTATCAAAGATCTAAAAAGTAAAAAAAAGACAAAGAGCCTGTCAGACCCAGAAAATATACCCAACGGATGGAAAGACAACTCAATTTGTTAGCCGTGCTTTTTGTCTGTGGTATTTTATCGCAACCGACGAAAATATATTGAGTAACTGTAATTAACCGTTGTAGAAAAGATGAAAATTAAAAAATTACAGTAACATTTCCTTTCTTGCCTTGATGGAAACATCTGCAAGTTAGGTTGGTTGCATGTTATTTGATCAGTATGGACCTCATGGGGTCCTCGGTAAATTCATTGCTTTCTTCATTAGATGGTTCTGAAAGTGATTATTCTTTGGATTCGTATTCCTCTTGAAAACCTTCACAGGCAATTAAACAGTCTAAAGTCTATGATTAACGATTAGCCGCCATATTTAAAAGAAAAATGACATCCTTTGRGACTTAACTGAATCTAGATGAAACTGATATACAGCAGTCAGACAACAGAATTTAACACCTTATATTGCATTGTGAAGGTTTGCTATTGCAATTTTGTTTTATTATCATACGAAAAGGATGTGTAAAACAAGAAAAATGAGTTATTGAATATATATTTCGCAATTCATGGCAAAAATTGATGATTTTTACCATAGACAGATCGAACTGTAAATGTTTTTTTTTGTAATGAACAGAAATGGGAAACAATTTCAAAGGAAACTTATACACCAAGAATAAGTAATAAACTAAGAAATTCTAGAAATTGTCACTTCTTAATCAATTAATTGTAATGAAGTCATAAATGAAGAAGAAAATATGACATTTCACGAAGTTGATATCGATAGAATTTCGGAAAATGGTATTTAGCTAAGCTATTAGTTTGGGGTGGAAAGCGTTCGCCATCTACTCTTTTTATCAAAAAAAAGCCAACAAATTAGTAGATATTGCAAAGGAGGTAATATTTCTCTAGAATCGGTATATAGATAAATAACTTTCAGTATAAAGGCTCTAAAAAGTAAA